GGGGCCATAGGCTGAACACATATGGAGGATCCTGATGTCAGGCTCACCACAGCCCAGATGCTTTCATGTGGCATACTGTTATGTATGTTTATGTTTTAAGCCAATTGTTTATCATTTTTCTGTTGATATACTTCACACAACCTGCTGCCTTGATTACCTAGTGAATTACTTTCCAACTTCCTATTGTGGTTGCCTTATAAAAGTATTACCACTCTTATTTATACATGCCTATCTACATTTGATTGCCTCTCAACTACTACTGAAACAGATACACATGTGTAAGCCTTGCCTCTTCTTACAATGCTTTAAAATTGTGCAGTAGCTAGAAATGCAATGCAATTTTTTCTTTATATACTCTTCTTTGTTTTAATTCTCGCTGTTGTGTCGATAAATTAATGTGGACTTAAAGTGCAGTCTCTCGGCTTTAATTTGTGGGCATTGACATCAAAATTGGAGGAAGGGCTTAGGAATTACACCTCTGCATATGTAACCAGCTCTCTATTACCATTTTGATAAAGCCTTAAAGGTGAAATGCGTTAATGGTTTTAAATTGTGTATTTTAAAACAATAAAAGTTATTTTTGGTTACCTTTTTTATAGGACCAATCTTCTACTTATTTTATTGTATTTTATATACACTTTTATTAACATTTTTCCTGGCATTTTAATTGTATCCTGATTCAAGAAATCCATAGGTGGGGATAATTCCACAAGAGCTATGTCAATAGAGCAGTATTTCCTGCTCTACACTTGTGAGTATATTTTATTTTATCTATTATATTTATTTTTCAACTGAGAGCACTATTGCTGTTTTTCATACATATATTGTGGAGTACGACTGAACCAAAGCCGGACTGACCGACTCACTTCTCCAGTATATCCTTTAGCGGGGATCATACCTCTAAGCGCCCTCCATCCTAGAGCTGGCCTAAGCTCTGCCAAATGTGAGTGTATTATCCTCCTTTTTATCTATTTTACCTTTGGATCTACAATATTTCACCATTGGCAGTTTGTCGTGTTTTTTTATCTTCACATATACGGATTATCTACAACCCAGACGGATCCACTCCTGAGGATTGTACACATAACCTATCCAAATATAAGTGAGACGTTTTATTGATTTTTATTGAACATTTTACTACTTGGATGGACTTTGTTTTATTTACTTTTTTCTGTTGTTTCAATACAGACTATATTACCCAGGCTTACTTATTGCTGTCTATCCATTCAGGCCATTTGGTCTGATTTCTACGGTACCAATCTCTGTATCTTAGCGCAGCCCTTAACTCCTCTTTTTTCTCTTTTTTTTAAAGGTAACAAAAGTAATTGCACAATTAACTCAAAAGTGGTTTATCGACAGGTGTTAGCTATTCCTTCATTATTTTTTCATCAATTAAGCCGGTAAAAGGTCTGGAGTTGATTCCAGATGTGGCATTCACATTTGGATGCTGTTGCTGTGAACCCAACACATGCGGTCAAATCAGCTCTCAATGCAAGTGAAACAGGCCATCTTTAAAGCGGCACTGTCATGCCGAAACCCGTTTTTTTTTTAACCCCCCTCCCGCCTCCACTACATCCAATTGACCCACTAGTCACCCCCAAATGCCCCTAAGCCCCCCACATTACCTATTTTTTAATCCTTATTTTCTGCCCCGATCTTGATTCAGGGCGCCGCCATCTTTGTGTGGGTAGGTGAAGTCCCTGTGGGACACGTCATCAGCCCACACTAGGCAGACACTGAGATTCCCGCACATGCCCAGTGAAACACCTGGACATGCGAACGGGAATTTCATCTATTCATTCATTCATCAGACAGACGAATGAGTGAATAGAAAGATCAGCCGAACAAACAAACACAATGTATCAGTGTATCTGAGTATCAGTGTATGTTTGTTCGTGCAGTTTATTACAAGGAGGGAGCTACCGGCGTGCAGCTCCCTCCTTGTAATATGTAACTATAGAAGTGGCAGGGAGCAGTGCTCCCCACCACTTCATAAGCCCCCCAGTACCCCCTCTCACTCTATGGGGGTCAATATGACCCCCATAATAGCACAAGAGAGATTTAAATCTCCCAAATGCCCCTACTCACTATACCGCGAGTAGGGGCATGTCTACTAAACAGTGAGCAGCCTGTGGCTGCTCACTGTTGAAAAAAAAGACATAAATTACAATAAGGGGGGGCGGACCTATTGTCCTCCCCCCCTCCCCCACCCTGAGCGGCGGGTGGGGGCCATAAAGATAATGGGGGGGGGGACCTACTGTCCTCCCCCCCCCGGCCCCCACCCCTGAGCGGTGGGTGGGGGCCCTAATAAAACAATAAGGGGGGGCCTACTGTCCTCCCCCCTGGCCCCCACCCCTGAGCGGTGGGTGGGGGCCCTTATAAAACAATAAGGGGGGGGGACCTACTTCCTCCCCCCCTGGCCCCCACCCAGTAGATAGCTCCCTGATACCGTGGGAATTAGGGAGTTATCTACTAAGCGGCTGCAAAATGCAGCCACAGC